TCTCAGGCTGCCATCAATTGTGTTGTAAATCCATGAGACCAACATGGCATTCACAATCCACCATTCTTCATAGTTTTCATCTCCTTCTTCTGGACAAGGGATGGATCCGTCGATGAATCCAATTTTCCGTTTTGCACGGAATGCAATTCTCATTGCACGAGCTCATTCTTCATAATTATCACCGTTTAGTTTGACTTGGGTGATAATTAATCCAGGTGTGTCTGCGTTCTTGAGTTCGTAAGAACTTCCCTTCGTAGGGATTTTTTCTTCCTCATCGAAAAGCTTGCCGACGAGATTTTCTTCTACTTCTGCCATGTCGACGGTCGAGGAGGATAGTCCGGCGGTCGATGTCGGTGATCCGGCGGAAGACAGGCTTGAACCGGCGGAGGACGGTGATGGACCGTCGTATGTCTAGATTAGGGTTTTTCCCTAGGAATCTTGCTCTGATACCATGAAGAAAATAATAAGAGGGAAATTATTCTGTATATTGAATTGTTCTGCTAAGTACAAGGAGTTTCTCCTTTATTTATAGGAGAGGATAAAGACCAAAACACAAAAGGAATTCTATTCCTACAAGGAAACAAATCACTAAATATGAACAAGGAAACAAATCAAGAGCAATCCCACTTAGAATGGGATTTGCTCTCCTTCTTGCCGTGTGGTCCAAGGAGCACCGCCCAACAAAACACCAATTCAACATGTGGCTAATCCTGAAGAACAGACTTCATACAAGACAGAGGCTAAGTAAGTTCATCAATGTAGATACGAAGTGCCTGTTGTGTAATAATGGAGCAGAAGACATCAACCATTTATTTTGGGAATGCCCATTCTCCAAGGAGCTGCACAGTAAGATTATGGTACCCATGGGTTGTGTAATTCAAGCTTCAAGTTTCCAAGAATATTGTGACAAGATGAGGAGACATGGAACTAGAAGGGAGAGAGGAATTTGGATAGCAACATGGGCAGCAACTTGCTACTTCATATGGAAGGCTAGAAATACTAAGTGGCACCTAAAGGAGGATGTGAGGGTGGACGAGTGTGTCTCCTGTATTATGTTCAATATTAGATGTTTCATTAGTAGTAAACTGAAGAAGAGTAATATACTGTCCAAGTAGTAAAATTAAGTAGGGAGGAGTATTGAAGATTGTATGATCTTATTTTTGTGATGAGTTAATGAATTGTGAAGTGGTTCAAAAAAAAAAATCCAAAGATAGAAAAGGGAACACTCTTTGTAGTGTGTAACATCGGTTTTTAGTAAGGGGATTGCTACGGTGCCTCTAGAAAGGAGGGGGCATGGATGCCCCTCCACTGAATTTATGCCAAGTGGACTGACAATTAAAAGCATGAATAAACTATTCCACCTCACTCCATCTTTTTAAAATTGTGAAATTACCCTGAATTTTGGTTTGCTTTACATCCTTGGACTGCACTTTGACGGAGCCCTGTTACTCCATTACTCCGTCTCTTTTTCTTTTACGCAGCCCCTTCTCTCTTCATCGCAATCGGAAAACGCTGCCCCGCCTCTTCTTCATCGCAATCACAGCGCCTCGAGAGAGAATAAGCCGCCGCCGCCGCTGCAGTTGTGACTCCGTCGCCGAGACATTTGTTCAATTTCCGACCATCAGGTAATCAATTCATGTCCTCAATGTGTTTGATATTCTCTTTTGTTAAAATCAATTTTAAACCCTAAAATATATTATCTTGAATTCTTTTGAAATTTCTGTTTGGAACAATCCCTTGGTGTTAACCACCCCCAATTTGATAGTTCACCTTTTTTTTCTCTTTCAAAATCCATAAACTTGCACATGGAGTACAATTATACCTTAGACCCACAACTTGAAATCTCCTCTGGTTATGGCCATCTAAGGGATTGAGACAGTGAAAGGAAAAATGGAGAAATCAGAATCCCAGACAGGAAGTGAAAGAAAGCAACAAAGGAAATCTGGAATAATCCGGTAATAGTTCCAGGATCAAATTTTTGCTAAAGACAATACTCCGGCACTCTTAGTAAATCCGTCAGCTCTTCAATTCCCACTGCAACACCGTCCGCAATGAGCCACATCAACTCGACGGCCGGCGTTGAGAGTTCTCCTAACCACGTCGTCGGTGATTGGTTCTCCGTGCCGGAGCTCAGACTCCGAGAACACTGGTTCACTGTTCCTCTCGACCACTCCTCCACAGATCCCCGTGGTTCCCCTACTATCTCCATCTTCGCCCGCGAGGTCGTTGCTGGTATTTGCTTCTCTCCACCAGTTTAGTTTCAGTATATCCATATGTATGATCATCGGGATTTTATCCGACTGAGTTACTTCTATGTGCGATCAGTGAATTCAAAGCGGGAGTTCCTGTTCATCATTTCAGTACTGTATATCGCGATAGTTCAATGTCTATTGCCTTTTCTGTATCGGGATAAATTCCATTGATAATTTTATTTTTTGTTCCACTGCATTTGATGAACTATAAAAAGCTGGTAAAGAAGAAATTCCTCTACCATATCTGGTCTACTTACAAGGAGGGCCGGGATTTGAATGTCCACGGCCAACTGAAGCTAGTGGATGGATAAGTAAAGCGTGTGAAGAATATCGTGTGATTTTAATGGATCAGGCATGACTTGCCTTTTTTGTTCTCTCTGTTGTCTATACAAATGCTGGATTATTTGTGGTTTTTAGTATTTACATATAATGTTCTTACCACTGCAGCGAGGAACAGGCCTGTCCTCGCCCTTGACGACATCATCTATGTCGCAAATGAATTCTGCTGAGGAGTTGGCTGATTACTTGAAGCACTTTAGGGCGGACAGCATCGTATATGATGCTGAATTTATTCGCAAATGTATCGTTCCTAATGCCGGCCCTTGGACTGTTTTAGGACAGGTATTGTCATCATTCATCATGGGTCATTAAGAAATTGTTTTATTAACTTTTTGAGCTTATCTGTGGTCCTCACACACCCGTAGATACATAATACGGAGTAGTATAATACAATCTGATGTTCTCTGCCCTCTCCCACATCACATTGTGGGAGTGTGTGCAATGATAATTCATTGTTTTAAATGGAATTTCAGTGTTGATATGTGTTGTTTGTTCTTCTAGAATGTTGATAATGAGAATCCATCTACTTTTAATCTCAGAGCTTTGGAGGTTTCTGTGCAGTCACCTATTTGAGTTTTGCTCCACAAGGATTGAAACAAGTTCTAATAACAGGTGGACTCCCTCCCATCCAAAGTGGCTGCACTGCTGATCGTGTATATACAGCAGGCTTTGAGCAAGTAACGCTTCAGAATGAAAAATACTACAAGAGGTTTCCTCAAGATATTAAAATTGTTCAAGATGTCGTTAAACACTTGGCAGAATCTGACAGCGGAGGGGTACGCAAATTTAGATTATCGTATATTTTATGCAATCATAATATCTGGTTATACTTAGTACCGTCTGTTCCTCTCAGCTCCCTCTATTTTCCTATGTTGGTGGCATAGGTGTGCCTTCCATCAGGTGGCATTCTAACACCCAGAGGAATACAACTGCTTGGTCTCTTTGGTTTAGGATCCAGTACTGGTTTTGAACGCTTGCATTATATGTAAGTTATATCTTGCATTTTCATTTTCTTTTGGCAGCACAATTGTACAAAATACTACTTTTCTATGATACTAATATACAATGACTCCAATGAGTCAATGACCAATAGGTTTGAGAGGGTTTGGGATCCGGTAATAGTTCCAGGATCAAAAAGGAGAATCAGCTACTGCTTCTTAAATGCTGTAAGAGAACACGTTCGCGGTCACACACACAGAGTTTTATTTGTATTTTCAGCAAACACAAGTTGAATGTTCTCTCAAAAACTGCAGTACGAAAGATGGCTGCCATTTGATACAAATCCCTTATATGCAATACTGCAAGAATCATTATATTGCCAGGTAACTTTCATATAACTGTTGAAATCTAATGTAGAAAGATGTGTCTACCTTCCACAATGTGTAGTAGTGGTGTCTAATTTGTCAGTGTTGTGTATAAACTGTAGGGTTATGCGTCAGAGTGGTCTGCTCACAGAATAAGAGCTGAAACTGAGAACAAATTTGATGCAATTGAGGCTGCTAAAGAAGGGCGTCCTGTGCTTTTCACCGGAGAAGTGAGAATATATGCATACTCACCCCCCCCCCACCCACCACCACCACCCCGACAATGAAAGCTAAAAGAAAAAAGATGGATGAATGGAACATGGACCTTAAAATTTTCTTAAACCTCTTATTGGAATAATTTAATTGATGCAATGCCTAAATAAAGTTGCCCGGTGTACATTCTTTTTCTTGCTCATGCCTGCAGATGGTATTTCCATGGTTATTTGATGAAATTCATGCCTTGAGGCCATATAAAGAAGTTGCTGAATTGTTGGCAAAGAAGAAAGATTGGCCTCCACTCTATGACACTGCTATGTTGAAGAATAACAAGGTATGTTATGCTTTCGGTGTGTAATCGTCCTTCACCATCAACCATGAATGAAATTAGTCCAGATATCTGAAAGTTCACATATAAATACTTTCATCAATGAAGTAGTTGGTGTGTGTGTGTGTGTATTGCAGAATGTGTGATATGTTTGTTTTGGCTGAATGGTATGGTTAGGTTCCGGTTGCTGCAGCGGTTTATTATGAAGACTTGTACGTCAACTGTAAACTGTCAATGGAGACTGCATCAGAGATAGAAGGGATGAGGGTGTGGGTGACAAACGAATACATGCACTCGGGGCTGAGAGATGCAGGACCTCGGGTTTTGAAACACTTGCTGGGTATGCTCAATGGAAGGAAGCCGCTGTTTTAACCCTTTCTTCAATCTCTTCTCACCTTTGCTCGGCGCCGAGCTGCCCTTTTTTGTATATAAAAAAAACAAGAATCTGCAATGATCATAAGAAGCATTAACTCACAAGTGTGAGAGGTGTTCTTAAGCTACTAGTCTGGTTTTGGTGAGTACTCCCTTATTTAATTTTTTTTTTTTTTGGTTTTCTTTTTTTATGTGTGTGTAATCAAAACTCCAAACAGTCCAATCCAATTAAAGCTAGTAGAATGGGAACACAGATTAGGCTTGTTGACAACAAGGCAATCTTGGCCTTGGCATGTGACGTGAAGCAGCAGCTAGCGCAAACAAAAAAAAAAAGACAGCTTTAGTTGGCAGCGCGCCGCCTTTGACAAAGTGGCAAACCGGTCAACATTCCATCGGCTGTTGATGATATGATCACTCAATTCAAGTATCTGTTTGATTTTTTCAAAAAAAATTAAAATGGTGTAGTGGAAGAAATAATAATATGGATGAATGACTTAATTCCTATTTCTAAAAAATAAAGGGCCATTAGGAACTCACTATGATTGCTTTCATGAATGACAATCATGATCTAATAATTATCTCTGGATATAGACGATTATCGTCTGTACATGTGTAAAATCATATGGGATAATCATCAGTGAAGGTACTTGTGATAAGTTTTTAGCATGATGTTAATTTGAAATGTTCATAGTAGGAGTGGAATTTTTAATTTTGGGACAGAGTGTTATGTGCCACTTTTTTTTTCTTCTTTTGGAAAAGAAATGTCATGTGCGGTGTTTTATTGGGCGTGTTGTGTAGCTTTAGCATAACATGACGCACATCTCCCTGTTCCCACTTCCATGTCAGACTCAATTCCAACCCCATATTTCTTCTTCCCAAATTTATTTTACTAAAAATTTAAAAAAAAATGAAATTATGTGATTGAAAATGATGTACATGTAGAAAAAAGTGAGCTACAAAACATTTTCTAAATACTAAAGAAAAGTGCAAGATAAATTAATTAAGACAACCTGGGTCAGCCCCAAAAAATGAAATAATAAAATTGGTCTGGTTTAAAATTTACATTTAGGCTCTATTTTATTTTTTTATAATATTAATGCTTTAAAATTAATGCAAAATTTAAAAATATGAAATCCTAAAATTTTAGGAACCCTGTGCGGTTGACTATTTTGCACACCATGAAGACAACACATAAAAGGAAATAAAGATAATTATTTAGGGATGGATTATCTAATTCCTTCGGACTACTATGTGCATGATTCTTGTAGATATGGTACAAAGGGAATATATAGTTGCATTGCCATGCCAACCTCAATAGGCAAACCAATCACGGTAGAAGATCTTAGCTCAAAACTACTCCCTCCGTCCGGAAATGTTCTTCCCATTTGATTTTTCACGGTCTCCAATATTACGCTTTGACCATTAATATCTATATTTATACATAGATATATTTTATAAGAATTTGATATTTGAAAACTACGTTTCATTATGAATATATTGATATTAATGGTAGTCAAAGTTTACAAATTTTGACCAAGAAAAGTCAAATGTGAAGAACATTTCCGGACGGAGGGAGTAATTGTTTGCTGCCTCAAAATCTTATTCTCATTCATATTTGTATTTGTGTGTCAAAGAACCAACTCAACCAAAAACTCAAGCTTGTGGTTGTGGCCCAGAAACAGTTATTTATATTCTAACACGCCCCCTCACGTGCAAGCGTAGTCTTTTACGAGCCTTGCACGTGAAACTTTAATTTTTTTTTAAACTGGGTGGCGGTGAGTTTCAAAATCGTGACCTCTTAGTCAACAAGGCTGCGATACCATGTCAAAGAACCAACTCAACCAAAAATTCAAGCTTGTGGTTGTGGCCCAGGAACAGTTATTTATATTCTAACATTGTGTGGTTCATATTCATTCACATTTTATCAAACTTTTTATCATTAATACTATTAATCATACTATTTTATTTTTCACTTTTTTTAGTCATTTTATTAATGTCCTCAAAATAATGGCATGAAAGACAGTATATTATTTGAGTACATTAAAAAGCACGTGGTGGAGTCCTTGTCTGGCATTGCAAGGTGACTGTGAGTAATATAATGTCAAAGGGGGACATGAACCAGCTTCAGCTTGTTTGGGTACGTACTTCACTGAAGTAGTCTAAATATAGAGTAAGAATTAGGTGCAACGAAACCGACCAATTTAATTTGAAATTGGTACCTCTTTACAATTCTAGTGTAATTTAAAATAGGCTCCTAAGAACTACATAAACTACTGCATAACCAGCTTTGCAATTTTGCAATGCTCAAAAGGACTACACAAACTACTTGCAAGCACTCACTACATATAGGGTTATATTCCCTCCCAAAAATTACTTCATTTTTTTATCCTACTTTTATTCATCACATTAAGGGTATTTTTGAAAAGTAAATACGAAATTATTTCTCCCTTATTTTGCCACTTGAGTCAATATGTCTCTCGTTTTCTCGGACAAAGGGAGTACAAAATATAAATGGGAGCGTGACGATCATCATCATAATATTTAAATAACAATCATCATCATAATATTTAAATAACAAGTAGCAGCCTAGCATCGAGTGTAAACATTGTAGCTTGTCGTCATGCATCAAATAAGATTTTTAAATTGATCAAAACATCATATTTAACCTGAAAATGATATTAACTCTTATTTATAGTTGAAAAGTAGAAAAAAATAAGAAGTTACAGCTTTAAAATTTGGATTTTCTAGTGCCGAAAGGATCGTGACGATCGACCGTTATCGCCACTCTGACTGGACATGCGACGGTCGATCGTTAGCGTCCAACGATCGACCATTACCGCCATGGCAGAACCGGTTTGAGAGACGGTTAGCGGTGTCGAGGAACAGTCGGCCATTCTACAATTAGTTTGGAAATTTTTTACAGTACTTCGTCTTCAACCTTGGTTCAAAGTTCCAAAATATCATTTTAAGCTACCAAACTTTAATTTTACTATATAAAAATGTTCTCTAGCATCCATAGACCATTTTTAAACCATTAATTCGAAGCTTTAACAATAATATGAAGGTTTATGATTCATGATTCATTAAAAATATATTTTGAGTTTTTCTAACAAATAACTCAAACAAATGATCGCCTATGAACGTAGAAACGATTTATATGAAGATTCTAATCTAGGAACTCACCTCGAGCTTAAAAGAAGGAGATGGAAATTTTATAGTGAAACTTCTAGCAACTACCACGACTTCCTCCGGCAATACCAGCAACGACGAACTATGGCGGCTTGCTCTCCTCACTCATAGGAAGACGAAGGAATGAGAAGGGTCAAAGTTTCTTATAAAGTAGTTGAAATGGAAAGAAGCCAAGCCAAATCTCCTTCCTAAGATTCTTGCATTCGAAAGAAATTCTCCAGGCGCTCAGTGTGCTATTGTAAAAATTTACACGCTCTCCCTGGGACATAAATAATCTCAATCAAGGTATACTTTTTTATCCTACTTTCTCCAAATAAAAATTTGATTGTATCGTTGTGATCAGACGGTCAAACTCTACGCAACAATATAATTTTTAAAATTAGTTGACAAATTTTATAAATAACTTATGTTTAGATCTATCTTAGTAATTAATTAATTACTACCTTCGTCCCGCTATATTCGTCTACTTTTGACTTTTGGAACTGTTCATCTAAGCACTTTGACTCATCAAATTCTCTCAATGTGTAAACCTAAATATAGTCATGTGTGATCTTGTTTGATTTGTCTTAACATATAGATTATTAATATATAATTTCTATAATTTTTTAATATACAAATTACAAGATAAAATGGATTAAAGAAGTGCATTGGATGGTGTGCAAAAATGAAAGTAGACAAATACTCAGGGACGGAGGGAGTATCAATTAGTTAATTATGATATGTCTATTTTTGAGACATTAGGGTTCTTATATAACTTAAAATACATTTAGGGTCCGTTTGGTATGTGGAATTTATGGAATTGGAATTGAATTGGAATTGAAATTTCATGAGATTCAATTTCATAGAATTGAATTCATCAATTTCAATTCATTTTTTGCACTACCAATTCTAAATCTACGTAATTTTGTGTTACCAAACACAAGAATTGGAATTGAAGACCTCAATTCCAATTCTATAGTTTGAATTCCGTGTACCAAACGGACCTTAAGAATCATAAACTTTTTCACAATTTTTTTTCATATACTCACTCATATGTGTTGCAGTGTTGGGCGTCGGTGGGTGTAGCTTGTTTGAGAAGTAGTGTCAAACAGTCAAAGAAAATAAATTTGAATTTGATTCCTGACAATTGCGTTGGAAGATAACTTCATTAAGTATATGACCTGTAAACTCTTCATTTTGCGAGTAATTATGTGATTAAAGTTCAATTTAATGAATTTCAAATAACTATCGGATTGTGAGACATTGACAAGATGAGGGGGTGTGTTCTTTTAACATATAGGTTGGGCTCTTGAAACCATTCCTTGGAGCAAGTTTGAGAGTTTTTCAAGAGTTGACACAAAATTTAAAAAAGAGAGAAAGGTGGGGATAGGGCAATTGGCAGTGATGATGATGATAATAAATGAGTTTCCTCTGCTTTCCGAACGACTATTAAATGCTGCGCCTTAACGCTCCACCCACCCACCTTCTTCTTCTTCTTTTCCCCCTACTCATCAAATGGACCATTTCGCCCTCCAAACCCTCTCTCGATGTCCGCCGCCGCCGTTTCTTCTTCCCCTCCGCCGCCTCCCCTGACGCCTCCGCCCGCCGCCGTTTCCATCTCAACCAACATCGCCACCATCGGCCTCGGCTACGCCATTGCCATCGCCTTCGGCTTCCTCGTCCTCTTCTCCACCGTCCTCCTCGCCTCCTAC